TGCACCCGGGTGCTGTAGAGCCCACAGCACTGAATGTGAGCTTGGGCATCTGCTGTAGAGCCCACAGTACTCAGTGTGAGCTTGTGCATCTGTGGGCATGTGTGTGCACTACTCTGATGAGACAGTGCTTCATTTTTCCACTTCTCCATGAGGTCTGTGACCAACAGACATGAAGTGCTTTGCTCTGCTGCTGCTTGCTTCTCTCCAAAGCTCTTGCCTTTTTGGCGTATGAGCGTGTGTATTTCATATTTTTGACCAATGAGGAAAAAAGCTTCAGTTGATTGTGAGTGTGCCATTAACCCCTCTAGTTTACCACCAGTGAATCTTCCTAAAAAAAGAGGGTGATTCTAGGATAGGAGGCCATCATCCAATCTTCAGGCCATAGCTGTGTGAGCCATCAGACCACATTAAGAGGAGGGAATGTGAGGACCTGCAGGACCACCAGCTGCTTTATTTAAGTGGTGTTTCACGTCACCCTGCCCACCTCAAAGGCTGCCACCTGGACACCTCCAAATCTCATCCATGTCAGTGATAGCGAGCCCCCACCCTCAACCTGCTACCAGCCAAGACCTGCCAGGCTCCGGAATTCAGCGCGTCTGCTCTGAACTCTATCAGCATTCTTTGCCACGTTGTCATTTCAGCAATTCCTTTGTCTTATCTTCTAGATGAGCACATAACACGTCCCCGATAATTTGCACATTAGGAATGGAAGCCTTCTGCTCAGCAAGCTGAGCACCCCTCATGATGCCAGGCCCCGGGCAGCAACCTGCCCTCTTTATCCTGCTGCAAAGGAAAGGAAAGGACAGGTGGCAGGCCTGCCTCGGGCCCAACCCCATCTTTCTCCCTGTTGAATGGGAAGCAACAGTAGGCTGAAGACAAACAGCAGAAACAACCATGTCTCTGTCTGTCTGTCTGTCTGTCTGAGCCATATTTTCACTATGTTACTGGTCCCCAGGACGTGTCTTTCGCCCCAGGTGTTTTTCATGTAGACAGGAGGCTGGTGCCAATTCATCTTTTAAACAGAGACTGACCTATGCCCTCAAAACTGGGACCAGTGAATTTGAGAATGTGAGTTCTTCCCCAGAGGTGACACACCTTCACAGTGATCTGGAAATCCTACCCCAAGGGTTGCTCAAGCCACAGAAACTCTGTTTTCTGTAGGACAAATTGATACATATTAGTCTGACGCATGGTCTGGCAATGGAACAGTCAGGAATCTCAGAAAATCCCTCCCCACGGACGTAAGGAAGCTATGGGAATAGGAAGGCTATGCGAGCAGGGGCAGACAGCCACTTCTCACTGGCAAAGTGTGTTCAGCTGAAGTGCACACGCACACAAACACACATGCACAGAAGCAACCGTGCAACTCCGTGGCCCCTTGCCTTTCCCTCCAGGAAGTACCGACGTGTCATATGAACAGTAAGCTTCATTCATTCACTGAACAAAATGTTTGCTCATCACCTACTTTGGGCCAGGCACTGTTCTAAGCTCTAAGGATATAAATATAACAGATGGGTTCCCTCTCCCATGGTCTTACATTCTGGTGAGGGCAAATAGACAATAAGCAAAGAAGTAATTATTCTTTGAGAGTGATGAGGGATAGAGCAGTGGCCAGGGCAGATGTGAGGTCTGAAGGAGCTGAAGGGGTCTGAAGACCCCACTGATGTCTGCTGAAGAACCTGCAGACGGACAGCAGCACGGCCTTGGCCTTGGCCAGGCAGGAGCGTCTGTGGGAGCTGGAGAAAGGGTGAGGGGGCCCGAGGGAGGGGAGTGCAGCTGACTGGTCGCTGAGGCTCTGGGGCCAGAATCTCCCAGGCCTTTGGGAGGACTCTGACTTTGACCCAGAGGAGAAGGGGAGGTGATTGAAGCAAGACTGAGGCTTCGTGGGCCTCACCTCATAGCAACACCTGCTGCTGCTGCAGCCTGGAGAGCAGCTGCCCGGAGCGGGGGTCCAGGCAGTGAGGATGAGAGGCGGTGGGAAGTGGCCAAAGTCAGGACTCATTTTGAAGATGGTGCAGAAGGATTTGCTGATGCAGAGTGTGAGAGAGTCAGGAATATGACTCCAAGGACTTTGCTTTGAGCCAAAAGCTATAGTTCTCATTTCCTGGAGATGGGGAAGTTGATGGGTGGGAAGCAGGACCTCCGTCAGAGCACGAACCCCGGTGTTGTGCAGCTCAGACTTTCCCAGACACCCCAAGGGTTGAGGGAGGCAGGGGCGGCAGGGAGAGTGGGCGGAGGGTGCTCCTCCAGACCCAGCTCTGTGTCCACACGCGCGTCCTTGCCTTTGGCCGTCGCTCTGGGAGATCCCTGCCAGTTTCCATGCTCCATCTCCGCCTTTCCAGGAGCGTTCTCCCCTCTTAGAGACTGGATCTGTTCCTGGCCCACAGCCGCCTCCTCCCTGGAGCCCCAGGCATTCCAAGGGGCTCCCAGGTCAGGAGGGCCCCGCCTCCGCAGCTGCCCTTCATCTGGGGCCTCCCCCAGACTTTCTTGCTGATGGCACCTGGCCCTCTCCCTCTGCATCCATGACCTGTTTGTCAAGCTCTCGTTGGTCCCCATGACTGTCAGACATACCTGAGTTTCAGGTATAATCCCAGTTGGAGTTATTTCCCACATGTCTCTTTACTTCATGAAAATGAAGGCATCAACCTTCCATGGCCATTAAGGGTTTTCCAGAATCTTCCATGACGGTTGAGCACACCAAGGATCTCTAGAGGATTTGTGACTGCAGCACACATGCAGACACTCTTCCCTCGGATACAGCTGGAAATTCTTGTTATAAATATGCTTAAAGTTGCTGGTTCCCAACTCCCAGTGTATTGGCAAGTGTTGAACTGGCTGCTTGAGGATTACCCCAGCCCCAGAGTCAGAGATTAGGGTTTCACAGTGCAAGGGAGGGACCTGGGAATCAGGATGTAGGAAATGCTAACACACCCCACTGGTATTTTTGTTGTTGTTGTTCTATCATTATTATTATTAATTAATTAATATTTTAAGGCAGAGTCTCACTCTGTCACCCAGGATGAAGGGCAGTGGTACAATCATAGCTCACTGCAGCCTCGAACTCCTGGGCTCAAGCGATCCTCCCATCTCAGTCTCCCCAGTAGGCGGGACTACAGGCATGCGCCACCACATCCAGCTAATTTTTAAATATTTGTTGAAGATGAGGTCTCACAGTGCTGCCCAAGCTGGTCTCGAACTCCTGGCCTCAAGCAGTCCTCCTGCCTTGACCTCCTAAAGTGACAATCTTCCCAAAGGGGGTTACAGTCATGAGCCACCACCATGACCAGCCACCTCCGTGCCCAGCCACCTCTACTGGTGTTGATCACCAGGCAGGCTTGGGAAAGCTGCTTTAGCTGTAAGAGGGGAGGGTGTCCTACCCCCAGAGAGGTTCACTTTTTTCTTTAAGCAGATCACTATAGCCTCTAGCCTGCAGGGGCTCCAGGCAGTCCATCACACATAGTGGGTTGTACAGAATTTATTTAAGGACAGAGATGGGGAAGATGGAGGGGGAAAAAAACCCTGCCATCTTCTGCCGTCTAAAATTTAGAGCCTTTTTTGGTGAGACAAGACTGTATAGAACAGATGCAAATAAACGTATATTAATGTTCTGCAACAGAGGGGGTATGGCTGGCAGGCAAAATAGAAGTGAGGAAAAGCTGGATTTGTGGAGGCCAAAGGTGCCCTTGAGGCTGCAGGTGGGTGAAAAGTTCGTGTTGCCATCCAAACTATGACCCCTCTGCTTCTGTCCCTTGGTATGGAACCATTCTCTGCAGAGATGAGCCCAGGCTGTGGCTGCAGTGGGAGTGGCTTGCATGTCACTCACAGAAGCAGCAAAAGCAGTGCACTGTCTGGATTGGGAATCTCTCACGGTAGTGACCTAGGAGGCAGGTGGGCCAGAGGGGGCCGGAGGGAAATGAGATTGTCCTGTTCTTGCCCTTGCTCCCTTCGGGGCCGTGTCCTTTTGCTACGGTGCACTTCCTGTTCCTGAGCGGACCCTCACCCAGGCGTCCACCCAGCATCCGGCAGTCATTAGTAGGTTCCCCCTCCCACTTATTCACGAGAAAGGGATTTTCCCAGGATCTCTGTATTTATAGTGGAGAGAGGCCCCAGGACTGTAAGGAGTGGGGACCTCCTCCCCAGGGATCCCACTGAAAGTCCATGTCCACTCAGGACCGAGCTCCTGCCCACTCGTGCTTTGAGCTGCCCCAGTGGGTGTGACAGGTTTGCTACAATCTAGGATTTCCCAAACTCACCTGCTGATCAGAATCCTGTAGGATGCTTGTTAAAAACAAAGATATCTGGGCCCCAAACTACAGCTAATGAATCAGAATCTCAAGAGCAAAGGCCCTTGAAAAAACAATTCTTAGGACGCAGTCAACTTGGGAAACTTCACGGAGCCGTGAACTCTCTCTTACCCTTGGGTGACCTAATTCCTGCCTCTGCTAGAAAGCTGCTGCCTAGGCTGAGCTCAGACAGGCATTCATGGGGAAAAATAAAAATAAAAATAAAAAAATAAAGCTTTTTTTCTGTTTAGAGACCAACAGCGACAACAATAATTACCAACCTTTATCAACTGTGTGCCAAGCACTCTCCAGGGGGCTCTTTGGGGAAAGGTGGATCGTGTCACACAATTCTGCCAATAGCCTAATGAAGCAAGGGCTACAGCTGTCTCCATTTTTTCAGATGGGGATGCAGAAGGCAGGGAAGTGAAATGTCTTGCCAGAGGCACATGTAGCAGGTAGCCAGCAGAGCTAGGTCACGGGCTTCTGACCACTGCCCCGCTCTGTTCCCCAACAGATTAGTCATCCTGGCACTTCGAATTAACTCCCTCCAGGGTGGCAACTCACACCACCCCCAACACCCCTCCCCCCAGACAGGAAAAAAAAAGAGCATAGAGTGGCAGCTCCTCTGAGAACCTGCAGTGGGCAGTTGTGAGAATGAGGCACAATGGGGAGGACAGCAAGGGGCAGGGTGCTGACCTCCCTCCTGTTGGCTCTCAGGTACTGGAACTCCTTGAGCAACCTGGTGGCATCCTTGCTGAACTCTGTGCGCTCCATCGCCTCCCTGCTCCTTCTCCTCTTCCTCTTCATCATCATCTTCTCCCTCCTGGGGATGCAGCTCTTTGGAGGAAAGTTCAACTTTGATGAGATGCAGACCCGGAGGAGCACATTTGATAACTTCCCCCAGTCCCTCCTCACTGTGTTTCAGGTACGGACTCTTCTCTCCTGGGATTTGGACTCGGGGTGGTTGAGTGGCGGGGTGGTGGGGGGAGTGTGGAAAGCTGCACCCTTTCACCAGGCAGCCACAGCCAGCCTAGATCAGCCCTGGAGAGCCCATGCCTGGGAGAGTCTTGAGTTTTTTCTGTAGTTTCCCCTGTCCCCATCTGCCGTGGAATTCCACTAGTGGGTGGACCATTAGGGGAAGCAATCTAAGTGGTTTAAAAATGCCTTCTCAGGAGAATCTCTTGAACCCAGGAGGCGGAGGTTGCAGTGAGCTGAGATCCCGCCCCCACTGCACACTCTAGCCTAGGCAACAGAGCAAGACTCTGTCTCTAAAAAAGAAAAAAAAGAAAGCCTTCTTATCCATGGAATCCTTTACTCAAATTCTCCATGAAAGCCCAAAACATAAACAAAGAAAAGCAGACTGCTCTTATTGAGGGGGAGAGAGGGTGACGAAACCCTGGCTTTCCTACCCACCATGCTTGTCCCTGGAAAAAAATATTACTGGCCCATCAAATTTGTGATTTCATAGATATTTTGGCTTCGGACAAACTCAGAGTGGCATCTATTTAAGTTTAAAAGTAGATGGAGGTAAAAATGAATCACATGTAGATGCTATGAAAATCTTCAAGTGATGAATGTTTGGGGAAAGCTGGTGTAGCATGTGGCTGTCTCAGCAAACACACAACTGCACAAGGGCCTGATGCCTTACGCCCAGGAATAGCTGATGGTCAGCTCAAGCATGTGTGGAGAAAGTCAGAGATCTTTGGGCCAAAAAGCCCTTTTAGTCACCCTTCAAATCCTATTATGCCAGTGGCCAGGCCTTTTGTCTGAGGACAGTGGAATAGCTCAGAGCCCCCTGGGGAGGAGGATCGGGGGCCAGGAGGAGGGAAAGGAGTGAAAGGAAATTTTGGACAATTCTGTTGACGTAGTGGGGCAGGGCAGGGTGGTTTCGGGTTTGCTGTTGGTCTAACGCTGTGTCCCTTATTGGTGGGAATGTGTCATTCAGATCCTGACCGGGGAGGACTGGAATTCGGTGATGTATGATGGGATCATGGCTTATGGCGGCCCCTCTTTTCCAGGGATGTTAGTCTGTATTTACTTCATCATCCTCTTCATCTGTGGAAACTGTATCCTTTGCTGCTGCCCCTCACCCCTGCGGCCCCTAGCCCCCAGCCTGCAGCACAGTGCCAAGCGGGCACGTCCCCGCAGGTCCGGGCGGTCCCGCTCGGGCTCACACCACCCAGCCTAGAACCCCATGGCGGCGGAGGTGGGTCTGGGTGGAAACCTGCAGCTTTGCCATAGGTGAGGTTCACCTTCCGGAACCCTTCCGGGCGTGCGCTCGGCGTCATGTAGGTGAACGGCGCCCCCTGGCGTTGCGGCGTGCGCTGCGCAGCCACTCACAGGGGCTGCGGGAGGGACAGCGGGCCGGCTGCCCTGGGGCCACTGCGTCCGCGCAGAGGCGTGACGCTCCGTAAGGGAGGGTGAGCCATTGTCTTTCAAATGACCTTCAGCTCCCCTCCTGCTTTTTGCTCAGCACCCCTCCCTCTGATGCTGCTCTCCAGGACTGGAGTCATAGGCAGAGCTGCCCAGACTTCACACAACCCTAAAAGCTCCTTCCTGATCCTGGCTCGGGGGTGGGGTTTCCAGGGTCACAAACCGCAGGTGCTGCTTCTCTTCCCCAGCTCACCACCCCGAGAGAGTCACGTCCAGAGTCAGGGGTAACATGGGAACAGCACTTGGCCAAGGCCCAGTTAAGGCAGTGCAGAGAACACAGTCATGGAAGCCTGCAGACAAGGTTTCCTCTTTTCCCAGCTGGGTGACCTCTCCTCTACCTCAGTGTCTGTAAAATGTGGCGATGGAATCATAGAACCTACTACGTAAAGGGTCGTGGGGAGTTTTCATGGGATCATGCATGCAAAGCCCCTACCACATTCAGACACCTCCCTGGACAAGCCCCTCTTCCCCTGCCTGGGTTGCGGCTTCCCTGTGTGTGAAATGATATGAATATCTGGGTGCCTGGGGCTGGGGGTCAGACTTCACAAACTGAAAGCCCCCTTCCAGCTATGCTTTCTTTGATTCTGCACTTCTCTGACCCACAGCGTTTCTGTTGGTGGAGTGGGGTGGGGAGAAAGGGCAAAGAACTGTCTCCATTGGGAACTCCTGAGCCTTGGCTGACTCCAGCCAGACCCTCCAAGGGTCTTCGTGTGTGCAGGCTCACATTAAGAGTTGGCAGAGATGCCAAGCCACCCCCTCAGTGCCTAGTTATAATAAACCGCTCTTAAGAGCATTCTGCATCCTGCTAGAGACAATGCTGTTTATAATGTCAATTACAGCCAGTCATCTCAGTGGGGAAACCAATCATGAAACCCAGCAATTAAAGTGCAAGGCAGGGCTTGCTGCCTCACTCCCGCCCGCTCCAGTGTGCAGGCTAGCCTGTTCTCATCCCTCTAGATAGCTCCAGGTAGCTAGGAGGGTGATGGGGAGCAAGGGGAGGGGAGTAACACTATTGGGGTCTGACTCCCTCAAAGTGATTCACTGTCAAGCTCTCTCTGCTGAGGAGCTCTGCCTTGCACGTCCTACACCCCCCCCCCCCCCCGCCCCCTGTGCCCACCAAAACCCCAAGCCAAGGGTCATTTTCTTTAAGAATGGACACAAACAGATATCCTACTGAATGTGTTCTTGGCCATTGCTGTGGACAACCTGGCTGACGCTGAGAGCCTCACATCTGCCCAAAAGGAGGAGGAAGAGGAGAAGGAGAGAAAGAAGCTGGCCAGGTAACCCTCTAAGCTTGCCCAGGCCCGGGGCTCCAGGACTCCCTTTCTGGAATGTCATCCCACTGGTGGCAGAGAGAGGCTTGACTGCCAGTCTGTGTTGGCTGTCCCTCCTAGGAGGACTCTGGGTTTGGGGCTTCCTAAGTTGGGCCTTTCTCCTAATTCCTGAGCATCGCTTCGGTAGGGACCATCGTGAATTATAAGTCTCTACAATGGTGTCATATTCTCCACCTGTTGGGATTATCTTTTGAGAAGCTGTGATAGGTGGCGAGAGTGTAGGGTGGGGAGAGAGAAAGGCAACCACTCAGTTGGGAAACCCAACTCCAGCTTATGAAGAGAGTCCTCCTCACTACTTTATAATTCATCTCCAGTGTTAGGAAGGCAAGACGGGGCCCTGTGTTGTATCCTATCATTGTCTAGATGGGACAGTTCCAGGTCACACAGCTGTCAGGCACTGAGCAGAGCTCCTCCAGGAGCCAATCCTAGAGGAGATCCACCATCCTTTTCTGCTTTGGCAACCCAAGCATCTCTGGAGCTGCAAGAGGCCAATTGCGTGTCAGGCAGAGCAGGTGTGGCTCAGCCCCATAGCGCTTGTGACTGATCTGTACACGAGAAGTGCCCTGGAGAAAGGAAGATGGATTCAGACCCTGGGAGCCCCCACTGGCCCCAAAAGGCCACAGGGCGGTTCCCTCCTACACTGTTCCCTATCACTCCAGTAAACAGCCATTTATTTTTTCTGCTGCTGACTGGCCAGGACTGCCAGCCCAGAGAAGAAACAAGAGATGGTGGAGAAGCCGGCAGTGGAGGAATCCAAGGAGGAGAAGATTGAGCTGAAATCCATCACGGCTGACGGAGAGTCTCCACCCACCACCAAGGTGAGGAGCTGTCTCCTTCCTGGAGCTGTGAGGCTGGTGCTGGGGAGGGAGGGCCACAGCCTTCCCCAGCCAGACCCCGTGGAGAAGAGGAGAGAAAGAAAGACACCCAGTGGAAAGAAAGCCAGTGGGGATGAACAGGAGAGCTGGGAGGAGGAAGAGAAGGCAGATTGGCTGGATCCCAGCCATCTGCTGGTGTCTTGAAGGGGATATGCAAAGTGGCAAGGACCTATTTTCGAGTGAAGTCACTGACTAAATGCAACTTCAAGGCTACTGCAAGCCTCTTAACTTGTGGACATATCTAACTGAATTCTTCCTCCTTCTCCCCTGTGACTGTCTAGATCAACATGGATGACCTCCAGCCCAATGAAAATGAGGATAAGAGCCCCTACCCCAACCCAGAGACTACAGGTACCAGTCCCACTGCCTAACCTGGGATTGGGAGATTGGGGGCAGAGATTTAAATTCTAAAGCCACATGGGAGTGGCCGTGTATTAGGGACCATGGTTCTGGTGTCCCTCCATAAGTACCTTGCACTCCTGAGTGTCTTCCGTCTCTATATTTAAGCATCATCAGTCAGCATCTGGGAGACAGCTTTGTTTCTGGTTTCCTCATAATGAGATCACATTTGAGCAGTGCTTTTGTGTCCTTTCCAAGCTGGATTCTGTGTACATTTAAATTTTTGTTACATTACATGTTGTAAAATCATTATTAATTTATATAATGTATTAGTATGGCATATGTTGCAACATTATGCTCACTTAATATTAATAGTAAATCCCAAATCTGCCTTGCCCCCTACTCAGGAGGCAGTGCCGAGTGCAGGGACAGCTGCCACCACAGATGTCCCACTTGTTGCTTTAGAAAATGATTTCAGGTCTCATTATAAAAGGCCCTCTTACTGACTCCATCTTCCTGTGCTTCTATCTGATACATAAATTGGCAGGCAGTCTGCTTCTCAAGGGCCTTAATGTCAGAGGTCAGTGGTCTTCCCTCCAGGCTTCACTTCCCAGCTTCCTGAAATCCCATGCCCTGTCCAAGGCCTTGGCTTACCTTCCTCTGACCTAGAATTGCAGATATCATCGCCAGTTTCAAGCTTGAAGTTAATAGCATGTATCAAGGGACTGTTGATTCTACTGACATTTCCTTGTTCCTATAGGTTAGGCTGTATTGGGTTGTTCACCAAGTTAGGTGGCTGAGAACCTCCTACATTTATGAGCAAAGCTCGGTTTCCCCTTTTGCTTTCCCTCTGCTAGTTCTCTGCTTAGAACACTCAGAGGCATCTTCTGTTGTCCTTGGGAACCAGACTCCCTGTGGTCACACCATCCTCACTCCCCTCCTCCTGCAAGGGAATAGGATGTGGTTTCCTGGAGCTTGGATAGAAAGAACAGGAAGGGTGTTTTCATATGCAGGACATTAAGCCTTTGAAGTTCTTAAAAACCCTTCCAGGGTGAAACTGTTAGGGAATTTCAACGACATACTAGAATTATTGAACAAATGCAATGGGAGGATCTTGTCTTGATCCTGAAGCAACAAATACACTTTAAAATGACATTTTAGAGGTAATTGGGGGAAATTGAATATGGACTTGGAACTAAATGCTTTAAAGTAGTTTTGTTAATCTTGTTGGTATAATATTTTGTAGTTCTGTTTTTAAACTGCTGCCGTGTTTATAGCCAGAGTCTAAAATGTTTACGAGTTGCTTTGCTTTTAAAATATTCCAACAACAAAAAAGTGGGACAGAGAAGATAAATGGAACAAGATCAGCAAAATGTCCAAAGTTGTTGAAGCTGGTTATATATGTGAGGTTTAGTATGCAAGACTCTACTCTTGCGTAAATCTTTAAGGTTTAAAATGAAAGACAGTAATAAAACAAATTCCTTAGGGCCCTGAGAAGAGCCCTCCCATGGGGCCAGCCTGCAGGATGGGCCTTCCTACACACACCACGAGGCAGATCTGGTATGAGGGTCTTTTCACACAGGCACCCAGCTGCAGCCAGGCCTGTACGGCAGATACACCTCTTGCATCTTCAACAAAAATCTCAAATTCTCTTATTCTAAATACTATACTCTTGGCTTTTCTCTGTTGCTCTAATGAAATCAAAGAGAAGAATGTTTAAAAAAAGAAAAAAAGGCTAATAAGGATTTTGTCACCACATTGACCGTCCTAGAAATGCCTCTAACGTAGCTACCCAGTGGCTCTGAGGACCGGGGGATGCTTATGCTTTCCAGTTGAAAAGCTCTTCCTCCCCTCCACTGAGGCCTCAGGATTCTTGAGATTTTTGAGCGTGTGTCCCGCTCCCCGTCATTTCTGTTGGTTACATGTGTCTCTTTACTTTTGTGTTGAAACCTCTGGTCCATACCCTGACTGCCCCGCCACACATACCAGCCACCACTCTGGCCTTTGAAACCAGCCACAAGCATGTCCATTTGTACACTATCCCCGGTCTCCAGGTCCTCATCCAGGAGGTCCAAAGGGCAGTATGCTCTTAAAGCTGGTGGCCCCACACATCACCCTGCCCCTAAAGGCTAAGTCAGCCTGTCCGCCTTCCCATTTCCTCCCTTCCCTGCCTGCCTAGTCAGCTCCTGGATCCTTTAGTGCCAGGTGCAGCAGAAGTTCCCAGAGACTCCTCCGAAGATCACGTGTCCTGTTGTCTCTGTTCTGGTCAATCTCTGGTTCCCTCCTGCTTCTCTTCTCCCGAACCATGAATGGCGAAGAGCCTGATCTACCATTGTGCTCCCAACCGCTGCCCCTTCCAGGCCGCTGGCCCCTGCCATACCTGGTTCGTACAGGTACCCCTTAGCAGGCAGCACTGGTGAGCGTTCCTCCTGCTCTGCCTTCAGCCGGGCCACTAGGAAGAAAGGGCCAGTGCCAGGGAGCACACTGCCATGCTCTTCTGCTGCCTCCCCATCTCTCTCTTGCCCTGTCTCCTAGGTTTGCCCCCTGCCCTCTCCCTCCGTCCTGGGCTGTCCAGATTGCACCCAAAGCGATGTATCAGTGGCCAAGTGGGAGCTGGACTCCGGAGTGCACTCTGCTGGCTGCAGCTTCAGTTGCCCTCACATGACCATGAATACTCAGAGGAGGGGCCTGTTTCTAATTCAACAAGGGGCCATCGAGGCCAGCCATAGCCCTAGAATCCTTCCCTCTCTGTTTCATCTGAAAAGCTCGCCAGCCGGTTTCAGCCTCCCAGATCGGTATACCCTAATTATAGAGAAAAACCCCAACTCACTGGAAAGAAAATCATTATGCCCAGATGAGTGGAAGCTAATTCTACCTTTGTTTAATTTATTAATTTATTTGAGTGAGCGTGTAGATGTTTGCAAGAGCCATTAAGGACTTAAAGTTAACAGGTACACATTTTAAAAAGGAGTGCCACCAGACACTGAGTAGTCAGCAGCGCCTATGCTGGGGGAGCCTTTCATTGTTGTAAGGGGTTCAAGGTCAAGGAGAGCCATGAGGTTGTGGAGTCTGGGGGCTTCATGCAGAAGGGTGGTCTTGACTGAGCTTTGAATCAGGGAGTTGGAGAGGCTGAAGGAGTTTTTTCAACATCGTACAATCATCAGAGATGCTAGGAGTTGGGAGGAACCTTGCAGATATTCATGAACTACCCATGAAGCACTTACTTGTGTGCCAGGCACTGTGCTAGGTCCCAGGGACATGGGGGTCCCTGTGGTGGGCAAACAGGGAAGACCCCCACCCTCCTGGAGCTGACATATCAGTGGGGAGACAGGCAGCAGGCAAACCAATCAAAAAGGTGACATCACATGATGTGAAGATAGTGAAATCAGGGATTGTGTTAGGGGATACTCAGGGGTCAGGCTGCTTTGACTGTGTGGTCAGCAAAGGCTTCTCTGAGGACACAGTGTTTGACTGGAGCCTGAATGATTCAAAGGAACTAGACACGGAATCAGAATGAAGAGCTCTCCAGGTGGAGAGCCTGAGTGCAGAATCTCTTACGGGGGATGCACTGGCTGTGGGGACTCCAAAGAGGGCCAGTGTGCCTGAAGCAGAGAGAACCAAGGGATAGTGCCCTGAGGCAGGAGGCTGGGGCAGGGCAGGAGGGCAGGGCAGGAGGTGCAGGGCCACATGGGAGACCGGGTCTGATCCAGTGCCCTGGAGGGCCGCCAGAACGTCTGAGCAGAGGAGGCCCTGACCTGATGTCTGACACACCCTTTCAGAGATTCCCTCTGGGTGCCGCGTGGATAAAGAGCAGTGGCGGTCGAGAGCAGAACTGGGGCAGGGAGGATGCTTGTGCAGTATCCAGGCAGAGAAGATGGCAGCTTGGGCAGGGGATGGTGCTGGAGATGCAGAGAAGTGGTCAGACTTGGGGTACATTTTGCAGGTAGAACCAGCTGGATTCACTCATAGCTTAGATGTTGGAGAGAGACAAAGAGGAACGTAGGGTGACTCTGAGGTTTTCTAATTGAGCCAGTGAAGAGAAGATCCCCAATGCAGAAACTATATCCACCACCTGTGCTCCTTGTGCCCCAAGGCACTGCTCTGGGTGTCTGGCCCTTACCAACCAGGCACTCCCTTCAGCTGGTAGCAGGGACTCTTGTGCCCTGCTAGAAACTAAGCTCCTTGAGGACAAGAACCATGGCTTTGTGTTCTCAGCCTTGGGCTCAATACTCTGTAGGCACCAGATCTTACAAATGTCTTTATGTGGCCAAGAGCGAAATCACAGAAGTGAAAATGAGCATCAAATGGAGAGGGGCAAGGGCTGCCAAGGACCAAGGGCGGGGCTTCGAGTGCTACCCTGGTTTTACTTTGGAATCCTCTGAACTGCCGTCCAAAATGCAGCAGCAACTCCAGAGTGCGGCAGCGCCTCACTTCCCGTGCTTTTTCCAAACCTCCAAGAACAAAAATGAGAGAAGAAAGATCCCTAATGTATTCCACTGGCATTTGGGAGTAGACAACTAGCTGGTTCAGTTGCCAACACCAAAATGAGCTTTGCGTGACTTCTCCTGATCTGTCAGCCTCCCTCCGTATCCATAATACCTGCTAAGCATCACATGCTGTTGAAGTTGTGTTCCTTTACAAATCAGTTTGTCCTTCAGAAATCGTTTCCCCTTAAGCACTGTGCCTGATGTTCAGCTGCTCTGTGACTGAATGGACCAGCTAACTTTCTTCTCCCCAGGAACGGAGCTCAGCATGGAGCTTCATAAACAGGGAGGGAGCGCGTACAGATGGAAGAGCCTGCACCATTTTCCGTTAGGAACTTCGAATGGCACCAAGCTATAGTAAATATGGGTTTCTGTAAACACAAATGATTAAAATAAGCACAGAATTACCTGTTATCAAATTACCATGAAGAAGAAAGTGTTGGGTCATTTCAAGCAAAACTGAAAAGAATGCAAACACCTAGGCAGGAATTTAAGATCCTTCTCAGTTAAATTTCACTTGAAATATCATGATTTAGGCCAATTCTGGTTTTACTTATTCGACTTTAATTAGAAGACTTTTCTGTTACATACCAAGGGTAGGGTGTCACAAGAACTCCCACTCTTGGCCTCTAGACAGTTTTTCATCTTGGACCTCCCTTCTGCTGAAAAAATATCAATTGTCTTGCTGGTCAGCTCTAATTACCCTAGGGAAAGAATCTGATTGATGCCTATATGGTACTAGTCCTCCAAAAAAGCCTTGGGTCCCTAAATGCTTGAATGCTTTTTGCTTGATAAAGAATTGCTTTCTGTGCCAGGCATTTTTTCTTTGCAGTACCTGGCTTTGTTTGAACCACAAGAGGGAGAACATGCAGAGGCCCGGCTGTGTCCGTCAGACAAGCGTCCCATAACTATCTTTCTCCAGCCAGACTAGTATCCCCTTCACCTTCGTCTTATACAGAGTCCCCTTCCTTCTGAAGGGTGTGGAAGTTCAATCATCATCAAGAAAAAAGGGCTTCTAGTGCCAGGCATAGCTTTTCTTTCCAGGGTTTTCAGCACACAGAGAGAAGGGACAGACATTTAAAATCAGTCATCAAGGCACTGGAGGCAGAGGTTCTGCTGCGATTCGTGGAAAGGTCATTCCCTGGAGCACGAGTACTGAGGAAAGCTGGATGGAGGATGCTGTCTGGATTGGGGGTCCTTGTGTGCTCTGCAGAGAGGAAGATGAAGAGCAGCTCAAACAGAGAGAGAGAGAGCATGAGGAAGGACGGAGCACACAGTGAACTTGTCAACTCACTAGGGCTACCATAACCAGTGACCACACGCTGGGCAGCTTAAGCAGCAGAATGCATCCTTTTATGGTTCTAGAGGCTGGAAGTCCAAAATCAAGGGGTCTGCAGGGTCAAGCACCTTCTGAAAGGCTCTTGGGAATAATCCTCACTTACTTCTCCTAACTTCTTGTGGTTGCCGGCAGTCCTTGGCTTGTAGATGCATCCCCCCAGTCTCTGCCTCTGTCTTCACACGGCCTTCTTCCCTAAGTGTGTTTTTGTGTCTCTGTGCCTGTCTTTATGAGGAGAACAGTCGTTAGATTTAGGGCCCATCCTAGCCCAGAATAGCTTCATCATAACCAATTACATCTGCAAAGGCTATATTTCCAAATAAGGTCACATTACGAAGTTCTAGGTATGCATGAGTTTGCAGGGAAACTGTTCAACGCACTGTAGTGAAGTGTTCAGAAAATAGTTTCATGTGAGTGGACAGTTTGTTAGGGAATAATAGGTGGTAAGGATCTGACTGAGAAAGATGTTGAACATTAATTTACAGGCTTCGAGTCTGTCCCATGGCAGCTGCTATGTGCCTGGCACCATTCTGAGGTATAGATGTACTGTTGTTATTATTCCACCTTAGATGGAGAAACTGAGGCACAGAGAGACTCAGTAAAATGCCCACAGCTAGAAAAACAGAGCCAGGATTCTGATCCAGGCGACTGGCTGGAGAGTCTGCTCTTCACTCCCCCCATGTTGTTACTTTCCCCTTCTGAGCATCTTCAACACATTTGACCAGCACAGGATATGCAGTGCGTCCCTCCGTGAGCATTGTGCTTGCAAACGCAGAAATAAGCTGCCTGACTTTCTTCCACAGTAAATGTGGCCACTGGCAGGGAGAACAAAGGCGCTACTTTAGTTGGTGTCAGTGTCTAAACCTTTGCATGAAGGGCCTGTTGTGGTCAGTAGCATTGCCCTGTTATCTCGACAGCACATGATTTTGTTGTCGTCGTCGTTTTGTTTTGTTTCAGAAATTGGGAAAGTATTGGTTTTTAATTCCTGGAACTTCCAAGGGTGGGGTTCTTTGCAAGGGATTCCACAAGCCAACTAAGCCATACCCTTTCCCCAACCTGCAGCCTAGATAGATGAGTAACACCTGGCAGTGCCCTGTCCCACTTGATCACCTTTTCTTATACCTTACAACGAGGATGACCAACCACCCCAGTTTGCCCAGAACTAGGGGGTTTCCTGGGATGTGGGAATTTTAGTTTTAAAACCAGGACAAGTTGGTCACCCTGCTTACAGTCCCCCTTATTGTGCACTGCCAGCTACGTCTTCTCCAACAGAGATGAGCTGCAGCAGCACTCACAGGGCGACAGCAGAATGTCTGTCTTGCTTGGTACCCTACATTTTCAGAGCCATAATCATGTCTGCCAGTAGGAAGGTCTCTGAAAGTGGTAAAATAAGTGGGAGTGCTGGAGTTATTTAGAATGGTGCTGTTCTTCTTACAGGAGAAGAGGATGAGGAGGAGCCAGAGATGCCTGTCGGCCCTCGCCCACGCCCACTCTCTGAGCTTCACCTTAAGGAAAAGGCAGTGCCCATGCCAGAAGCCAGCGCGTTTTTCATCTTCAGCTCTAACAACAGGTGTGCAGCGATGGTGGGGAAGGTGGGCTCCTGCTCTCTTCAGTACCAGCCTGGCCGTTTCCTGTGTTTTACCTGAACCTCTGGATGGAGCCTGAGACTCTCCCAGCTCCCTGCAAATTGTATAAACAGACACTGATTTAGGAAACAGTCCTGGATTTTGAATCAGAAGGCTTGTGTTTATTTTTCTCTGCACTTTTTGGTTTTTTTTTTTTTTTTTTTGGAGACTGAGTCTCGCTCTGCTGCCCAGCCTGGAGTGCAGTGGCGCAATCTTGGCTCACTGCAAGCTCCGCCTCCCGGGTTCACGCCATTCTCCTCCCTCAGCCTCCCGTGTAGCTGGGACTACAGGCGCCCGCCACAGTGCCCGGCTAATTTTTTGTATTTTTAGTAGAGATGGGGTTTCACTGTGTTAGTCAGGATGGTCTTGATCTCCTGACCTTGTGATCTGCCCGCCTCGGCCTCCCAGAGTGCTGGGATTACAGGCGTGAGCCACCGCGCCCTGCCTTTTCTCTCCACTTTTTGAAATGTTTAAACTCTATTTCTATTCTTTGGGTGATTACCCTTGATAATTTACTAATTCTATTTAACTTAACAAAATGTGATGTTAAACAATATCAAGAATCTCCTCCTGTATAATAGATTGACCTTAGACTATTTTAACTCACTCATCTGCTCCTTACTTACATGGAATTGTCATTAGTATCTTAGTCCAACTTTTACTTGTAACCCAACAAGTTAGTGAGTCTTATATAGATAGTGTGTGTTTGGATATATGTACACCTTACCATTTTATTTGTTCACCATTTTTTTATTCATGTCCATCCATCCTTTAGCTAACATTTTCTTTTCTCCTAAAGTACATCCTTTAGAAGCTCCTTTAGTTCCATAATGGCAAATTCACTTGGCTTCTACTTACCAAAACTGTTTTCACTTCTTGCTCTTGAAAGATAGTTTTGCTGTGAACACTATTTTAGACAGTTTTTGTCCTGCAGCACAAGAAAGGTGTTATTCCACTGTAAAGTCAGGTGTCATTCCAACTATGAGTTCTTTGTGAGTAACCTAACCTTTATTTGTAGCTGCTTTTAACATATTCTGTTGCCTTTGTGGTTGTACAGATTTACTACCATGTGTCAAGGTGTGGATTTCTTTCCATTTATCTTGCTTAGAATACATTCTGCTTCCTAAGCCTATGGATTTAGATTTTTATTTAGTGAATGAAAATGTACAGCCATAATGTTTAAATGTTACTTCTTTTTAATTCTATATTTCTTCCTTTTGACACTCCAATTGGACATCTGTTAGACTTTTTCATTCTGTTCTCCCTATTTCTTAGAGGGCCTTACATATCTTTCATCTCCTTGTCTTTCTGTATTCTGGGAGATTTCTTCACCTGTATCTTCCAGTTTCTTAATTCTATTTTCAACTTAATCTATATTACTGTCTAAACCAATTTTTTATCTTGACCATTATATGTTTTTTTTTTAGTTGGTTCCATTTGTTGCTTGATTTTCCAGATTCATCTCTCTAAATCTAGTAGTTTCTATCGATTCCTCATCTTTGTGATTTAGTGCTTTATTTCATTAAATATTTCAAATATAGTTGTTTTATAGTCTATATCTAGTATTTCCAATACCCCCAGTCTTTGGAATCTAAATCACTTATCCGGTGTTTCTTCAGATTTCCCATCTTAGTGGCTTGTCCTTTGGTGCATCCGATGATCTTTGATTGTGACCCCAACACTTCTTCTTCATTTGTGAGAGTCCTGAGGACTAAAGTAGGTCTGGGGAGGCTTTCTTCCAGATGCCCCTTGGAGGTGTTGGCTCGGCCTAAAATTCCCACGCTTTCCTGCCCCATGTCAAGACTGGCTTAACCTGCAATTTCTTGACAGCACTGCTGTTATTGGCTTCCATCCTCAAGCAATTCTGCCTTCCTGGCTGGCTCTCTCTCCATACATAGCCTCAGCTCAATGGAGGTTGGCGGGAGGGGTTGTTGGTTTGAAGCAGATGATTCTTACAGCCATCTCCTAACTCTCGTAAACCAGAATCGTCTCAGAGAGAGCTTGGCCCTTCGAGGGTTTGGTGCTTCTGCAGCAGGAGGGCTTCTCAGAGCATTTAGTCAACCATAATGCCAGGAGCAGAAGTCTGAAGGCCTGGGTTGAAGCCCTGACTCCCCAACACTAAGGCTATGTTTCTGGGCAAGCTTCTCCTACTTGGGTTTCAGTGTTCTTACCTGTGAAATGAAGATGATGACACTCATCCCCTCCTTCCTACATTGTTGTCAAGATGAGATGGTGTACAAGACACTTTCACATTTAGGAACCTAGCATTTTTGGTACTATCACTGAGTGCCTAGAAGCTCAGTTGGGTAACTGTGCTGGGGCATGGAAGTGAATTGCACATGTAAAGCTCTTACACAGGAGCAGATCACCCACAGAAAGCCGGCTTGGCCGGCTCCTCAGCATACCCAGCTCTGGGCAGTCCTATTGTTCCCCGTGCATAAGCATAGAGCAGATCTCATAAAGTGATTTTTTTTCAATGATAGGGAAAATAAGTCCCCAAACAAAAGCCAGTTATGAATGTCAGAGCAGGATTTGGGAATTCAGAGATTCTCAAAGGTCTCAGATGTAACCTTCTAAAATATCAAAGATGATATCTGCACCATGGGGGTGAGGGGTTGTCATTACCAAGCGGCAGTAAGACTTCAAAATGAAGAGGTCACTTGAAGCCAACAAGCACCTGTTGCCAGCTGCTGGGAAGAGCTGAGGGGACGGGCTCCCAAGAGCCGACTGCTGCTTCCCCTTGTCTGCCTTGACTTGTCTCTCCTTCTGTCCCCCTCCCATATAGGTTTCGCCTCCAGTGCCACCGCATTGTCAACGACACGATCTTCACCAACCTGATCCTCTTCTTCATTCTGCTCAGCAGCATTTCCCTGGCTGCTGAGGACCCGGTCCAGCACACCTCCTTCAGGAACCATGTATGCATTGCCTGTGTCCTCTGCACTCCTTCCCTCTGGGGCTGTGCCGGGTCCACAGCTTCTGTTGCTGACATCATTGTTCAATCCGGAGCCCAATTCTAGATGTCATAATCAGATCCACAACTAACATTTCATTAAGAGAGTAGGGCTTTGATAGAAAACCACCCTAGGACCACAAACAAGTAAGAGAGCATGTACCCAAATGCTCAGGCTGGCTTGATCATTGGCAAAGGGTAGGACTTCCATTGCCTGTGGATGTTCCCCAGGAAGCTCTAGTTCCCTGCAAACTTGGTAAAATATGGCCACTGACTACATGCCCTCCCTTGCTCCCAGCGTACTCTGACCAGAAGGGGAGCATTGGCAAATAGGTGCCAATGATGAGGCTGACCTTACCTAAAAGAGAGTCTTGGTACCTTCAGTAGAGTAGACCAAATGTGAGGACCCACCCACGGCTCTGTTGAACAACGTTAAAGGCCAGTTTAAGAATTGCTATATTTCAAAACCTCAAAACTTTGTCAAGTCCAACCAAGTGGGCATGAGGACAGCCCACTGATCTAAAGCCATACCCATGCCAAACTACTCTGCACTCCTGGGGCCTGCTTGGTCCCGGGCTGTCTTGGTGAGGTTAGCAGGTGTTGGCCCCACCCCTGATCCATCACCTGAAATAGAATAAGTATGCAATCCTGCAGCCGGTCCTCAGCCTGTGCAGACCTCACCTGAAGGATGCACCTCCCTTGCCCCCAGAGGACATAACCCAGGAGTAGATTTCTACCAATACAGGAAGCTCGCCAGCTCAGTCCCACCAACAAGAGTGAAGCATTTTTAATCTCCCTGCAAAAAGACAAACCCCATTCTCTGTCCTTTTGACAAGCATCTCAGTGGTCCGATTTGGGTTTGTAAGTAAATTGGATTAATGGGAAAAGCATCCAACCAGATGCTGCTCAGATCCAGTACCAGCTGAGGCCAGCCCTGGAAGCTCACCTCACTTATCTGGGGGCTTCAAGGGAAGCCGCTGTGCTGCCTGAGGCTAGCCCCACCTCAGGATCGCTGTGTGCGTGCTGCTCGCCCCGCCATTTCCATCTGTGTCCATGTGCAAAGGCTCAAGTGCTATGCATCTCATTTTGAAGTGTGGCCCCTTTTCTGGTGAACATCCACTGACCTCTCTTCCCATCCTGCTTTTCTCCCTTCCTCATCCCATCCTCACCCTGTTCCTTTTTGTTTTGCAGATTCTGTTTTATTTTGATATTGTTTTTACCACCATTTTCACCATTGAAATTGCTCTGAAGGTAAAGCCCCCATCCCCCTCTGCTCCTCCTGTCCCCCTTGTGCCAGCACCAGGTCTCTGCCGCTGTCTGTCGCTAACACACATGCTCCTTCCTGTTGGTGTCGGGTTCACTCTCAGAGCCACTAATCCAATTATGCTTATTTTTCAGATCCTAGGCAATGCAGACTATGTCTTCACTAGTATCTTTACATTAGAAATTATCCTTAAGGTAATGCAACCTGGGCAATGCATCCTCTGTCGCTTTCTTTGTGTATCTCTGCTCTGTCTGGCTGGCTCTTTTCTCTCTTCTGTTTCTTTCACTCTCTCTTTTTTTCACTCCCAAGCCTGAAATTGGAAAAATGAGTGCCCCTCACTTTGTGTGATGCACTTTGCCCAGACTCAGAAGCCAGGAGCAACTTACCCCACTGCAGCCCCTCCCTCCAGCCACCCCTAAGCAGTCCGTGCCCTGGAAGGGACACGTGTTGGCTGTGCCAACATCAAGGCTGCCATTTCACTGGTTTGGGCTGCAGCCGTCAGCAGCGCCAGACATACATGCCCACACGCACCAGCTCTGGTTAATTGATACCTGAGCCCACGTAGGACTCTCCTTCCCTCCTCCTGCTCCATATACTCTGAAAGTGGGAAACCTCCTGGGGCACGAAAGAATCACTTCGGCTGCTCTCTTTGGATGCCCATCCTTAGCACCGTCCTCTGTACTTGCAGCAGACATTGGGTCTAAGCTGGGGTTGGGGGCACGTAACAGTCATCACAGGCCTGCTGTGAGATGTGGAGCTGGTCTCCGAGCTGAGGGCTTTCAGCAGCTAACTATAGACTACTGCCGACCCCTCAGTCACCTGCTGCAAAGCTTTGTCACAGTGCCCCTTGCCCTGAGCGTGGGGCAGGGAGAACTGTGCTGGAGAGCTGAGTACAGCGGGGTGAGAGCGGGTGCTGCAAGGAACCTGAGCCCCCAGCCCCCAGCCCCCAGCCCCCAGCCCTCAGCCCTCAGCCCTTGCCTTCTGCTGGCCCAGCTCAGTTCTGCTAAGGGAACTGCTACAACATTGCTACCCTTAGAACAGGCAGAGCCCACCACAGAGCAACACTGGGATGAGAGAGAGAGTATTCCTCCATTTTTCTGGTATATTTCTGAGTCTCTAAACCAATGCATGGCCAAGCCAGTTCATCTGAGAGTCAAGGTGTGAGTTCCATGGCCTCAGGGAACGTGTGCTCCTCTCTGAGCAAGGGGGTGGATTCTACCCTTTTCCCAAACAGAAGGACTAAGGCTCTGAAGTCCATGCTTCAGCTTTAGCTTCTTCCTGGGAGACTAGGCTGGGACTCCCCGTCCCAAGGAGTCCAGAATCCCTTGTCATCCTATCGCTGTGGCCAGTGCAAGCTGAAGTCCACACCTGACCGATGACACTGCCAGCTGCAGACCTTTCCTTCCCTGATGAGACTCCCTCATCATGACCCAGCTTGTTGATGGACATGACAGTTCAGTCACATCCAAATACAAATTGAATGGGGCAGTTTTTGTGTGCCTTCCCCTGTGTCCTTGTCCCCAGGATACTCAGGTGTCCCCAGCTTCCATCCCTGGTTCCCGCTAGCCAAGTGTGTGGCTCAGATTTTTCTTTTCTGCTCATGGAGAGTAGATCTGACCAGGCTCTGGCTCGTGGAGGTCGGGAGAGGGAACCGAAAGTTGTGTGGCTGCACTAAGATGCGCTGCGGCAAAACCTCTTTTCCATGGTGAGCTGCTTTGATTCCTGGACTTCAGATGCAGGGAGGTACACAGACACCAGAGGTCTTTCCTAGGACAAGAGAAGCTCTGAGGCCCAATTCTCAGTGCCCTTCTCCAGAGCTGCCCTTGTGGATTTCAATGGTGCTATTTCTCCTTCGGGATTGCCATACAAGCCAAAGTGAAAGGTCTCTTTGCAACCATTGTCATGGCAAGGTCCTTCCCTCCCCTCCATCCCCTCCCTCTTCTACTCTCTCCTGTGCTCAGCATGCTTCTCGATAGACACCCCAACGCCGGAACACTTCCCTGTACCTCCTTCCCACTGGGTTCCTCTTCCTGGCCTAAGGCCCAGTGTCATGTTGTGGCACAGATGACTGTGGCTGTCCAAGGGGGACATTTAGCACAAGGAACAGTGGAAGGGCCTGGAGATGTTTGGCCTTAAAAAGGAAAGGCTTGTAGGCCCACAATAGTTGGCCTGAGTAATACAAGGGACTGTCACATAGAAGAGGAAGAAGGTAGAATCAGGACCCATGAGTAGAAACCACATAAAAAAGACAGGTTTCCTAACTAGGAGAGCTGCCTGTAGAGGCAGGGATGGCCCATGGTTGAACAGAGAGCTTTCCTACCCTTCCAGGCAGAGCCAGCGAGCCACGTCCCATTCCTTTCCTTCCTCAGGATAGAAGCACCCCAGCAAGGGCCGCTTCCCAAGTAATGGTGTAGAATTAGGCAAGCAGGACCCAGGTGGCTGGCAATTGGAAAAACAGGGTCGAAGAGGGACAATTCGCAGTGGGTACCTGAGCCTGGCTTTTCCTGATGCCCTGAATGGCACGGATGACTTTCAAGTGAATGCTCTGTTTTCCCCACGTCCCTTTGCCCTTTCTCGGACAGCCACTCTTCCTCTGGCCCTGGGTGCATCCTCCCACTGCCCCCATATGCACACACATGCACTTGCTCAAGTGTTGGTCTCATTTGAGGGTCCCCAGACAAAACAGGAGCCCAAAACCAGAGGACAGAGTCGGCACTCTGAGCCTTGTTAGTCCACCCCTCTGAGGAATGCTTTCCGCCAAGCGCAGAGGGTTCTGCCAGAGTTCAGTAGTAGCCTCGGAAGATCCAAGCCAGGAACAAGAAGGAATCAGACCCGGTGCCTTCCTAACACTAAAAGCGAGGTGGCTGGGGAAGTACTGGGCTTTCTGCAGGTACGGAGGGCTCTTCAGTTAATGTGAACTATGGGAGCCTCCTGAGTGCAGTCTCTGGGGGTCCCAGGTCTTCACTGAGAGGCAGAGAAGCAAGCCTTCCAGATGGTGGGCCTTCTGGAACTATACTCCCTTGCATCTTTTATATAACCTACCCACTTCTAAAAATTGCCCAACACAGGTGCCTGAGTCCTGTGGGACCCCCTGCTGCAAGAGATAAATGGAAAGAATTAGGTTGCAAGAGCTATTTTTGCCCGTTTCCCCCTGTGATTGCTTTTTGTCCCCCTGTGGACACTCTGCCCTGGGCATGCTCTGATTCCAAAGAGATTAACTGGGCCCCAGATGACCAGGGAGCCTTGCTCCCCTTCTCCACCGTCAGTTCCACATTTTTCCCTTTGGCCGATGCTTCTTGTCTGCTGCCTGTCACCGCCCTTATCCTGGATAACCACGGGCCCTTATGCAAGTCGGCAAAATGAGAAAGGCTATAAAGGCGATTTGTTGAGCGCCTGCAGTGCACAGCTTTACACCAGGCTCAGAGGGTGGTAATAATGGCCAAGTCCTGTAACAGTCATCATCATCTTGTGTGTTCTCTTTTAAAAAGTTTCCAAAGGGCTTCCACAAAGCCAGGGGATAGTTTCCTCACTTTATGATGAGAGAACAGAACTTTCCTCATCCAGGAAGCATCCAGAATACAAATCCAGGCTGTAGTGACAGCTCAGCCTTTTATGGGGCTCACTGTGTGCAGGGTGGGTCCTAAGTATTTTACACAGAAGTACCCGCTTGATGCTTACAACCCTGTAGGGTGGGTCGTATCCTCGTTTTCCAATGAGGAAACAGAGGCACTAAGGGAAGTTGAGTTTCTTGCTCCAGGCCACACAAATAAAATACCGTGGGGCTGGGATTCCAGCCCAGGCCGCCTGGCCTCAGAGCCTGTGCTCTTAGCCACGGAGCCTCATAGCCCCTCTGATCACACAGTTTTTTGCCCTTAAAAAACTCCAGTTGCAGTCTAGAAGCAAGACAGGAGAATTGAGTTTAGAATAGTTGGCATCAATCGTCAGCACCCTTTGAAGCCAGGAAGGGGAGGTATGCTAATTGCCAGAGTCACCACTGGAACTTCTCACCAGGCACCAGGGTGACCAGCTGGCCTAGTTTGCCTTAGACTGATGAGTTTCCTGGGATACAGGATTTCTGGTGATAAAGCAAACCTGGGCAAACCAGGATGGCTGGTCACCCTCCTGGGCATGCCCCCCCGCCCCCACCCCCACTCCCTGCAGATGCCTGGTGCTCTCAGCTGGCCTAAGGACTCAAGCATTCGGAGAGGCAGTCGGGGCGTGTGCTCCCAGCCCGAGAGCATCAGGAAAGGACCCTGCAGGCCCGAAGCCACGGACTTGGGATGTGGAACAGCGGGAAATTAGAATGGGATGGTGGGGCCCACGTGAAAAGGCTTTGAATGTAGGACTAAAGAGCCTGGCGTGGCCTGGCAGGTGCAAGGAGTCACCCAGAAGTCCTGGGCTGGGAGATTCTTGGGCGATTGTGTGCATGGTAGCAGAACTCTTCTCTTGGCACCATATTGCCGTCTTTGTCCTTCCTGTTCTCCATGGATGGTGCTTGGGACTTGCCCAAGGAATGCTGTGGGAGGAAGGGGTGGTGTGAGGGGTCTCTGGGCTCGGGCTAGGGCCACTCACACTGGTGTTTCTCTGTCCCTCCCTGCAGATGACTGCTTATGGGGCTTTTCTGCACAAGGGCTCCTTCTGCCGGAACTACTTCAACATCCTGGACCTGCTGGTGGTCAGCGTGTCCCTCATCTCCTTTGGCATCCAGTGAGTGGACCCCCTCAGCCCACGACGGGCCATGCGGCTAGCAAGGGGTGCCAGAGAGGACAACCAAACCCTGGAGGGCCCGCCTGCAGGACCACCGAAGTGTGATGAGAGCGGGGTGGGGCCTCCGAAGCTGTGCATGGCGGCTTTGAGTTCTTGGATCTGTGTCCTCAGTGGTCTCACACTTGGGGCATGTTGATCAGGCGCGAATATGTTTAAATACCTGGGTTTTGCCATGACAGGTGGGGCCAGGCTCAGCTATTAAGAAACGGTTGTCTCCAGGACCTTCCTGCCTCCTCCACCACGGCCCCAGTTGCCTAGGCTGACCTTCAGCAACCCGTAGTCTTCCACTACCGTGGCCTCCCCTGACCTGGACCCTCCTCCCTTTCTCTCCCCTCTCTCTCCAGCCAAAGCACCTCATGTATGAGTGTATGTGTGAATGTGTATATATATGTCTGTGTAAGTGTGGGGTGTATGTGTGCATGTGTGTGTATGTGTGGGGTGTGTGTATATGTGTATGTGTTTGTGGATGTATGTAGGTGTGTACGTATGCACTTGTATGCATGTGTTTGTGTGTTTGTGTCTGCATATGTGTACGTGTTTGTGGATGTCTATGTGTGTACGTATGCACTTATATGCATGTGTTTGTGTGTTTGTGTCTGCATATGTGTCTATATGGGTGTGTATGTGGTTGTATATGTGGATGTATGTGCGTGTGTGTGTGTGTGACTGTATATTTGTGTCTTGTGTGTGTGCGTGTGTGTGTGTGTGTGTAAGTGTGTGTGTGTGTTTCATTTCACTGGGCTGGGGTACAGTCTGGGTGTGAGTTCTCAGAGCTCTCCAGGTGACTCCCCTGTACAGCCAAGGTTGCAGACCTCATTCAGGTGTGGAGGATCTGTTTACTAGTTTCTACCAAGTTCTAACAGCTGATAGTGTGAATCCTACACTTTAACTTTCAAAGCACTTCCACATACACATTCTTCTATGGTCCTCACACACACACAATGATGGAGGAGACAGGGCAAGTGTTATTATCATCATTGTATAGATGGGAAATTTGGGGTTCAGGACATCATGACACTTGCTCAAGGTCACACCTATGGTAGAGAAAGGCCTAGGTCCCATGGTTCCTAGATCTCTCCTCCCAAGCGTGTTTCCATGGTCGGCTGAGATCATGCAGGGACCGGGGCCTTGGGAGATACCCTTGTCTGTGATCATCAATTATATTACCCCGTATTTTCTGCCTGGGAGCCTACAAGTCTAGATTTGAATCCCAGCGCGGCCACTCAATCACTATTTAACCTTGAACGAGGAATTCTTCCTCTTCAGCCTGTGTGTTTCCCATCTGACCTTTAAACCCCTCCCGTTGTAATTCAGTGCAAGCTGACTCCCTCCCAGAGAGACTGTAGGAGAAACACAGTGATAGACAGGAGTGGCCTTTGCATCTCTTGGAATAAAAGAGCTATGCACCAGAGAAATCGGATCTTTCTGCCAGCCCCTTCTTGAGCACATCATCCTGACCACACAAAGCATGAAATCAGCACTTGCTGGCCTGCCATTCATTGTTTAGGTCCCAAGGCAAGTATGAGGCTCTCTAAAAGCTTGAGAGGCTGTCTCAGGTAGTTAGCCCGTGAGGGTTAGGATGTACTCCACAGCTGCTCACCGAGGTGGTATGGTTAATAAGCCCCACCTGGGTAGGACGGACAGCTCCAAAAACCATGCAGGCATCTTGTTCAGGGGCCTGTCTCCTGCTGTCTCCATCGCACTGGGGAAAAGCAGTATCCTGAGACTCCAAGAAGCTCTGGCTTGGCCTCAGTATCCCAGGTGTATGGAACCTGTAGTGCAGTGTAGGAGCCAAAGGGCCTTCTGAAGGGTCACTGAAAAATCAACTGACAAGAGAAAGGTTAATTGGAGAAAAAGCATTCACATTTATTTCACGTGTATACACAGAGCCTTCAGAATGCAGACCCAAATTTACAGGGAAAATTGTCCATTTTTATGCTTTGGTTCCAAAAAAGTATGGACAGCCATGTAGAAATGTGATTGGACAAGAAGGGTAGGATCTAACATGAATGGACTGAGTGGGGAACCCAGCAAGGCCTGTCTCTAGGTTCTTCTTGGCCTCTCTGTGAAGCATTCCTTCCTTCTGGGCTGGGGACAGGATCCTGTCTGCAATAGGAGTCTTAGGATCTACACTCCCACGTGGTAGATCTGAGGATTTTTTATGGCCAGTTTTTATACAGAAAAGCAGAGGGAAAATTTGAGTAATATTTTTAGGTTGTGTGGCTGGCTTTGAGGAAATGGGATTCTGGGTTCTGGCTTCTTGACCCATCTTGGAGAAGAGGGATTCTAGTGTCTATGGCTAGCCTCGGAGGAGAAGGGGACTGAGACAGGAGGGCAAGAGAAGTTCAGAGAAAAACTTGTGCTTCCGAGACTGCTTCTAAGGCAGTCGTTTCGGGGTATTGTTTCCTGAGCCCCAACAGTAAAGCCCACCCTTCCTTGGAGTCCTGAGTGTGCTCTGGGTGGGTTTTAGGTATAGGTGCCAGGGGCAACTGTCTAAGGAATGTGTTTGGAGATAAACACTACGAAATCTCCTCCCCATGCCCATCACCTCCAGCCACAAGGCCCGAGATCCCACCGTTAGTACGGCATTCCTTTAAGTGTAATGATGTCTTCAGCGGGCATCATCATAAAAGGTACCATTTAGGCAGTTTTTCAAGCACACGGCTCGGTGATTTACATGGAACTCTTATGTAACCCTTGCAAAGATCTTCTGAGCTGATTACAGACCCATTTTACAGATAAAGAAACTAGAGCTCAGAAAATTGAGGAAATTTGTCCTCAGTGCCTTGGCTAGCAAGTGCCTGTGCTGGGCTCTGGATTCCCATGGCCTCGCTCTGGATTTCTTCTGTGACACTGTGGGTGCCCCTGCAAGTAGCACAGTACATTGCTAATGACCTGCCTTGAGCCACTTTGCGTATTATTTATTCACCCACAGGAAAGCCCCAGGGTTATAGGCAAACTCCAGGCTCTCACGGGGTGGGAGACAGGAGTAGAGAGTGGTCTCAGAATGCAAACGTCCCCAAGATGAGCTTTACATTTTCTCAGGTTTGCCTGGGATTCACCTATCAGGACACTCCCTTACCACATTATTTTTGCTCCCCCCAGAAACAGGAGGAGCTTATTACCCTGCCTGTTTCCCTCTCCCAGGTCCAGTGCAATCAATGTCGTGAAGATCTTGCGAGTCCTGCGAGTACTCAGGCCCCTGAGGGCTATCAACAGGGCCAAGGGGCTAAAGGTAAGTTGAGGGCATGGGTAGGGAGGCTCCAGCCAGCCCACTGGGGAGTGGGAGCTCCACAGAGGTGAGGGGTGGATTGGAAGGAGGAGATGATGGGTCAGGCCAAGTGGCTGCCATGTGGGGTCCCGGACACTGGTACCACTGCATGTCCCGGATCTGTAATGAACAGAGGAGTAACAGAGGCAGTCATCCAAAGTGTCTTCCCTAAGCAGAACGTGCCAAAGGGAGATCCCATGAAAACCCTGGGCCCCTGTGGTGCCGCCATCCCTATATTCCTTCCACTGTAAGATGGGAAGTTGGCAGGGCTTTTGTCCTTGTAGTCACCGAGAGCCCAGTGGGGGCCTTTGCATTCCATTAGGGTTCATCACTTCCCAGGTGACTCTCGGAGCGTGGTTTTGCCCCTCTCAGCCCAATGACTCCCCCTTGCGGCAAAGGGGCTCCCCCTGCTACCTCCTGGAAAGGCTCCTGGCATCTCCTGAAGCCACGTCTCTCTCCCCTTCCCTTCCCACTGCAGCATGTGGTTCAGTGTGTGTTTGTCGCCATCCGGACCATCGGGAACATCGTGATTGTCACCACCCTGCTGCAGTTCATGTTCGCCTGCATCGGGGTCCAGCTCTTCAAGGTAAAGTCTGGGCTCCGCCGTGATCCTGCTTCCTCCCCTCCCATCAGCATTCCCGGGGAAGGGAGCTGGCAGATACAGGACAAACGAGACAGTGGCCCGGGCCAGACTTGGCCTGGATGTAACCTCCACCTGCAGCCCAACTCCAGCTTCAGACCAGGGGAGGGAGGCACTGGAAGGAGGCACCGGGCCAGCAGACCAGAGGCCCCTCACCCTCTCCACTTCACCTGCCCTTCAGGTCACTGCCCTTCCTTCTAGAAAGAGAGGGAGAGGGACTTGCATCCTGTGGAAGCTCTGTGTCAGTCACTTGCTTAAAGCCTGCAGCAGTGACCTATTACCAACAGCATCACGTCCCTGCTACACCACCCAGCTTTCAGAGCCCTGCACCTGTCAAAGTCAGCTCCCGCTGCTTCCTGCAGCACCCCTCGGCTACAGCAAGGCCAGTGCCCTCCTTGGATTCTGGTCTTTTTTGTCCTCACCCTTTTAGTTCTGCTATTCTCCCACCTAGAGCATCCTCCCCTACCACCACCCCCACCCCCACTGTGTAAACTCCCATCTAATTCATTCCTCTGAGTCCAGCTCCACTTCTCCCTCCCTGGCGAGACTTCCTGGAGAGTACAGCTCCCATGCACCTGAGCTCCCGTGTTTGCATTGCAGGGCTACTTGCAGAACTGGTATCTGTATTCGCCACTGTTTTGTGCATGAGTCAGGCCCTGCGCATCTGGATTCTGCACTTTTGTTTTTTGTTTTGTTTTGTTTTGTTTTGTTTTGATACGGAGTCTTGCTCTGTCGCCCAGGCTGGAGTGCAGTGGCGCGATTTCAGCTCACTGCAAGCTCTGCCTCCCGGGTTCACGCCATTCTCCTGCCTCAGCCTCCTGAGTAGCTGGGACTACAGGCGCCGCCACCGCGCCCAGCTAATTTTTTGTATTTTTAGTAGAGACGGGGTTTCACCATTCACAGGATGGTCTCCATTCCTGACCTCGTGATCCGCCCGCCTCAGCCTCCCAAAGTGCTGGGATTACAGGTGTGAGCCGCCGCACCTGGCCGGATTCTACGCTTTTTGTCCCTGGCACAGTGCTGGGCTATGGAGGTGCTCACTAATTGTTTTTGGATTGACTCATTGATTACTGAACATCTCTAATACTCTGTTCTCTGCCTTCCAGGGAAAGCTGTACACCTGTTCAGACAGCTCCAAGCAGACAGAGGCGGAATGCAAGTGAGTGGAGGTGGGAGGGCAGCCAGGGCCACGGCCAGTCAGCCCCAGCAGGCTGGAGGCTTGACCAGAAAGGAGGGACAGCTCAGTTTCTAAGACCGCAGGGGCACCTGGACTTTTGCCTGTGTGTTATCTGGCCTCGCTGACACAATGTGTAGCATTTTTTCTTCCTGAAGTTTCTAGCCACTGAAGCTCCTCCCATGGCTGGAACTGTGAAGGTCAAGCCAGGCAGTCCTATCCCACCCAGCATTCAGGGTGACTGGCAGGTGTGAGGGAAGATGGGAGACCCCAGAGTAAACTGCTTCTCCTTTCTCAGGGGCAACTACATCACGTACAAAGACGGGGAGGTTGACCACCCCATCATCCAACCCCGCAGCTGGGAGAACAGCAAGTTTGACTTTGACAATGTTCTGGCCGCCATGATGGCCCTCTTCACCGTCTCCACCTTCGAAGGGTGGCCAGAGTGAGTATGCAAACCAAGGCCTCATGAACCCTGACCTTCAAGGGCCAGTACTGACTTTCCAGCCCAACCCCAAGTTTTGTTCATGTCCCACACTCCTTCTGGAGGTCATGTTTACCTGGGTCCTCCCCAGGCAGTGAGGTATCTTTCTAGAACAACTCATAGTCCACTGTCACTGCTGAAACACAGACTCTTCCTTCTCTCGAAGGTGTCAAGAAACTCCCACCAAAAATGACCTTTTTTTAAGCCCTCTTTCCAACCTCAGCATGAGCCACAATGTCAGAGGTCTCTGTCATTACCCTTATGGCATCTGGGAGCTGGGTGTGGGGAGAGCTTCTCCAGGTGCGGGCCATGTGGTCATCATAGAATTCAAAATTACCACTCCCAGCGTGCCCTTCATTGGGGTAAAGATGGCTGAGATATCTTTATTAACTAGACCCTGGTCTCCTTAGGAAAAGCCTTGCCTATATTTACAGAGGACAGTGAAGAAAGGGATGGGCCCCACTTCCTCTGCAGAGGCAATGTGTTTGTGCCTAGAGCAGCCCATGGCCCTTGCACACTGTGTCACCTCTACCAGGCAGCTTCCCATCAGGTCCTTATATCTCTGTATAGACACCTGTTTTTCTCCCAATGTGTATTCCAGTGAAATTAGAATCTGAAAGTCAGAAAATTCTAAATGTTTCTAAGTCAACAGCAATGCATGGATCTTAGGTGAGAGTCATCATTATTATGCGGTAAAATATAGGTGATAGAGAATAACCAAGTGCTGTGCAGGCTACGGAGGAAGGGAAAGAGATAATCCCTGTCCGTGAAGAATAACAAGCTCCATGGGGCATACAGCCAGGCTCAAATGAATGGCATATGTATGTAAACTGCTTAAGTCTATAAAACCAGACCATCGGTGATGATCGGAGTAGCATGGGTCATGTGAGTGTTTTTATCTAAGTGGATATTTGCTCTCGGAGAGATTTATTCTGCATTCTCTCTAACATCCTCTGAGTCCATGCCAGTTTGCAAAGCTGTCTCAATATTTACCAATATTTCCAGTATTTGAAATCAATGCCCATGACTCATGTTACATTTAAATAGCCCTTCACAGTTTCAAAACACCTTCCTATACATTATTCTAACTTCCCTGCGAGGTAGGAAAGTCGGGAATTATTGTCTCCAATTGACAGATGAAGAATCTGAGTCTCAGAGAGGTTAAGAGCTTTGCCCAAGGTCACACAGCCAGTAAGTGTCCGAGCTCGGACTCCAGCCCAGAGCCGTCTCCTGCACCCTGATCCCTGGGATCCCTGGAGCAGTGGTGCCATCCTTCCGCAGAGGGGACCCTGCTTCTCCAGTTCCCTCTGTGGGACCTGTCTCCTCCTGCAGGCTTCTGTACCGCTCCATCGACTCCCACACCGAAGACAAGGGTCCCATCTACAATTACCGCGTGGAGATCTCCATCTTCTTCATCATCTACATCATCATCATCGCCTTCTTCATGATGAACATCTTCGTGGGCTTCGTCATCGTCACCTTCCAGGAGCAGGGGGAGCAGGAGTACAAGAACTGTGAGCTGGACAAGAACCAGGTAGCTTCCTAGGAAGGAGCAGAGGGAAGCGGGGCCCGTGGAGGGAATGGCTGCCTGCACCCACCCCGCAGAGGAGTGCATCAGGGAGAGGCCGTGCAGATACTGAGATCGTCTCTGCTTCTCAACCAGAGTGGGCTCTCAGTCTTTTTGAGGGACCTGTGCAAAAGAAATGCATATTCCCGCAAACCCCAGATCTGGCAAATGTGCTCAGCCAACAAATATCTATGAAGCTTCTACTTAAGGATACTCTGAAAGGTTTTGTCAAAAAAAAAAAATCTCATGCCCTATCTAGAAGTTAACAAGTTAGAAGGACCCAATTGGGTCGGCACCATTGATACGGAGGAGAGAAACTAGAACTATGAGGGAGTGAGGGCTTTTGGGGTGGGGAACAGGACGGCTTCAGGAAACTACTCTTATATGGTTTCTTAAGTAAGACCCAGAGGACTCTGTGGGAGGTGGGGGCAGGAAAGAGGCTTAAGTGGGAGTGAGATGGCGATGCCAAGTATCGTGACAGGTTCTGGTAGCTGTGGAGAGCTGGCAGTGCCGTGGCTGAGTCAGGAAGCTGTTAGGGTGGAAGGTAGGTGTAGTGCCTCAGGTCTGTTCCCCAGCTCAGCTCCCACTGGAAGGAGTCTGTGGGGAAGCACATCCCTGTCTGTGAATACGGAGTGCCCATGGGAAGGAACGTAGCATGGTGTGCCCCTTGTGACCCTCACCAGGCCAGCCAATCCCCTGTGGGTCTTCAAGTCTACATCTCAGGCGTAGACTCACTCTGCTGGCTGTTGCGTGGACCCTGGATTGAAAGAAGACAGGAAAGGCCGGGCGCGGTGGCTCAAGCCTGTAATCCCAGCACTTTGGGAGGCCGAGACGGGTGGATCACGAGGTCAGGAGATCGAGACCATCCTGGCTAGCACGGTGAAACCCCGTCTCTACTAAAAAATACAAAAAACTAGCCGGGCGAGGTGGCGGGCGCCTGTAGTCCCAGCTACTCGGGAGGCTGAGGCAGGAGAATGGCGTGAACCCGGGAGGCGGAGCTTGCAGTGAGCTGAGATCCGGCCACTGCACTCCAGCCTGGGCGACAGGGCGAGACTCTGTCTCAAAAAAAAAAAAAAAAAGAAAGAAAGAAAGAAAGTGGAAATGAGAAAGGATTAGACCCCGATATCAGGTTAACGATGGTAGCGATGGAGAGAATAGGAGGAGGTAAAAGCGTTAAGGCTCAGGCATTGGACACGGGGGCTGAGGGTTTGAGAAGAGGCCGGGGAGATTCCCCAGTTCCTGATCTGGAAGCCGGGGCAAAGTGCAGAGAAAGGGACTGGCTCTTTGCCAGAATCCCAAGAATCTAGTTAGCCCAGAATCTTCTTCCCTGTCAGTGAACTGTGTTTTTCCATCTTATGGACACTGGCAAATAAGAAAGATTGATTTAGTTGCCCAGGCACAGTGGCTCATGCCTGTAATACCAGCACTTTGGGAGGCCAAGGTGGGTGGATCACTTGAGGCCAGGAGTTTGAGAACAGCCTGGCCAACATGGCAAAACCCCATCTCTACTAAAAATACAAAAAATTAGCTGGACGTGGTGGCACGTGCTTGTAATCACAGCTATTTGGGAGACTGAGGCAGGAGAATCACTTGAGCCTGGGAGACGGAGGTTGCAGTGAGCCGAGATCATACCACTGCACTCCAGCCTGCTGGATTTAGGACAGGAAAGAAAAACTGAGGAGAGAAGTACCCAAGGAAGGTCTGTGGCATGGGATGTAATCAGTGAGAAGCCCAGCTGTCAGTGGGTCAGCAAGCACATTCTTAGCAATGCCGACTCCTGGCTGAGGCACATGAAGGCATCACCAGGTGGAGGAAAGGAGATGTATGGTCCCTGCCTTGGACCTTGATACGGGGATTTGACAAGAAGGGGCTCTCTCCTTGATTAAGGGGGCCGCGGAAAAATCGAGACATTTTCCAAGTAACATCTCCCACCTGTAAGTGAGCCAGAGCAGCCGATGATTTCTCTGACTTCTGGAGAACCCCACCCTGCAGTGTGTGGTTTCATTCACATCCCACACCTCTCTGCCAGCTCCCCCCACACCCTCCAGGTAACTAACCCCACTCTCCCCATCCTCCACCACCCTCCCAGCGACAGTGTGTGGAATACGCCCTCAAGGCCCGGCCCCTGCGGAGGTATATCCCCAAGAACCAGCACCAGTACAAAGTGTGGTACGTGGTCAACTCCACCTACTTCGAGTACCTGATGTTCGTCCTCATCCTGCTCAACACCATCTGCCTGGCCATGCAGGTCAGTCCAAGGGGGAGCACAGCCACGGTGCTGCAGGAGGGAGGCATGCCATGGGGATGGAAAGCGTAACGGAGCGGCAGGCAGCTCAGTGCATCGCCTTCCTGGTCACCAAGGGAGGCAGCTGGAGAAAGACGAATGCTCCCTGTCAAGGATGTGCTCCTCTCTGGGCCTTAGGGAAGAATCCATGGCACCCTGGGTTGATCAGTGGAGAGAGGGGAGGAGATAGAGAAGGGAGGGAGTGAGCTGGACGCATTCGTTGTGCTGGGAAGGCGTGGCGTGTGGAGGTGGGTTCTGCATCCACCCGTCTTCAGGGACAGAGCTTGTTCCCAAGCTCTCTTGAGTGCCGGAAGTCTCCATAAAGTCATCACAGCCAACCGGGAAAATGAGCACAGATGTGTTCAGAGAGGGCAGAGCAGGGAAGAGCTTGGAGTTCTCCTGAGTCCTCCTGACTGCCCACGGAGAGGTGGGTGGCCCTCTGGGGTTGGGTTCGAGGAAGGTCTTGCTGAGACAAGGGCCTCTGAGAAGGGTGGGCAAAAGGTGGGGAGGAGGAGAGACCTCCCTGCCCCGTGTTCACAGCTCCTCCCCTCTCCTGATGCAGCACTACGGCCAGAGCTGCCTGTTCAAAATCGCCATGAACATCCTCAACATGCTCTTCACTGGCCTCTTCACTGTGGAGATGATCCTGAAGCTCATTGCCTTCAAACCCAAGGTAGGCCTCTGAGAAAGACCTTTGATTCACAGGCATCGGGGTGGACAGGACGGGGAAGTGGGGTGCAGGTATTGAAGGCAGAATCAGGGGAAGAGGGAAAAAGGCATTGGTGAAAGACCATCGCTGCTCCAATGATCAGTGCTCCAACTCCTCCACCTGCCCAGAGCTGAACCAGGCCAACTCCAGGAAACCCTCTCAGCTCTCGGTATTGATCCTGGCTGGGATGCACAAGCCGCAGATTCCTCACTGAGCTGAACCTCTGACCCTCTCCTGGGAGAGGCAGGTGATGGTCTTTCTCCTATGTCCCATCCTCTGGTACATAACCTGTTATTAGAAGAAACTATGCCCATAGACTGGCAGACCAAACCTCTCCGGGCCCAGCCCCCCAGATCCACTCAGGCCTCTGTTCCACCCTCCTCCCATTTCATCAGCCACACAGACCAACCTCGTATAAAACATCCAGCCAGGGCTGGATTTGCTCAGGTCTCAGGACTGCAGCCTATGGGCACTCCTGTTCCCTGCCTCAGAGGCTATGGCATTGCTGCTTACACGCTCTGGGGCAGGAAGAACAATTACCTGCAAATTTCTCTGCTTTGTTCCTCGTTGTGTAAGGGCAAGATTAGGCCTGCTCTGCTGAATGAGGCAGGGTCAGAATTCCTGTCCTTTGGATCATCTGTGCCCTTCCTAGCCAGTCACCCCCGCTGTCCTCAGTGGTGGAGGAGCAGACACTGCTGTGAGCCACACCTTCCACCCTGGGCCTCTGTAGATGGATCAGAATCACCGGCATCCACTGGCCGGGATTCACCACCAGGACAGCTGCTTCCGAGAGAGGCTATAAGAGCAACTGAGCAGCCCCCAGGCTACCATAACACCTTTTGGAGAAGGATGAGAAGGAACGATTTCTAGGAGCATCATGAGGTTGCAGACTTGAGACAACCTCTCCAGCTTACTGAGTCTTCTTCTCCTTCCTTTAGCAGTTTTCCCAGATGCAGCAACAGGAGGCCAAGAGCAAGAGTCCCTGGCTGTATTTTCTATTTTCATTCAAGTTTTTACTGCTCTGAAGATTAACTGGGGGTGGGGGAAGGTCCGGCTTGGCCTTCGAATCCATGTTCGTTGAGGAGATATCCATAGCCTTCTTTGCATGAATGTTCAACTCACACTTTTGATTCCGTATCATGTGCTACACATATATCATGGCGTGTCATCCTCAAAACATCCCTATAAAGTGGGTATTAGCATCCCTCTGTAGAGAGGGAGGGGGAGTGAGGCTCAAACAATTAAGTGCCCAGTATTAATTGCTCCACTACTAAGAACTGGCAGAACGGAGACTGGAATCTGGCACCTCTGACTTCACTGTATTTTCCACCACACTGAGGTTAACTAGCATTTTCCCAAGTCAAGTGCTGTGCGGGTATTTTTCAGAAAGAGGGAAACAACCTTGGAAGGACTGAAAAGACAAGATAGTATTCCTACAATGCAGGTGCTTCTCTCGCTCAAAGAGTGCCTGGGGATCCCAGCTGATTTTCATAGAGTAAGGCTCCTAAAGGACATCCTTTGGTGATAGAACGGTGGTTTCCTGCCTTCTCCAGAGAAGCAAGTACACTCTTTTTCACCTTCCTGTACAAGTCCCATTTAGGAGGACAGACTTGTCCTGACCTAGAGAGGACCCCTGGGTTGCCCTGACACCTTCCTTAGGGCACACGGTGTCTCTGCCCATACATGGCCCTGTTCCAAGTCCTGCAGCCCAGGAGCTCTGACAGTTCACCACCCACAGCAGCATGACCAGCTGAGGCTAGGAGTGCAATCACTGCCGAGCCGAGCCTCGGACTCGGGTGACATCCTCTCAGTGGGAAAACTGGCGTCGTTTTCATCCAGTGTCATGAGACATATGGTTTAAATATTTCAAAGCCTTGAGTCATTCCACAATTGACTCAGATGTGTTTCTGACGATGTCTGAGGCAGTCTGGAGAGCCTTCAGTGGACTTTCTGAATCATGCCTCCTGAGCACGGGAGACATACGGACAACCTTCCCTGGGAAGTGCCTGAAATTGACACCTGCGGGAGCTTCGGTCTAAAAGGCACTCCACCTAAATCCTGCAAATCAAGGAACAAGACAGTTTCCTAGGAATTAACCATTGCGGGTGGTCTAAACCATAAAGTGCCTCCTAATTTCCTCTGTCCCTGGTTTTCTGTTGTGAGAAGATGGGGCAAGATAACAGAGACTTTTACCCAAAAAGAAAGAGAGCCATCCTGGGGCCATTTGCATTTCACACTCCTGTGGTGTAAAGAGAAAGGACAATGGATCTTTCCCTGTGAATTTCCCTACAAGGGCTCTGGCAAGAGGGCGATAAAGGTGTCCACCCAGTTGGGAGCATCATGGAGCACAGCTGGGTCCCTGGATTCTTTCTGAGCTATGTTCTTCGTTCACAAATAGACTCCAGGAAAAGCAGCTCCAAAATTTTCAGGCAGAAAACCAAACTGGAAAAACCTGAAGCTCTGGAAGAAATATTCAGCTGGATCTGGCCCAAGAACCAGTGGCTTCTAACCATGACCTGAATCCATGACAACTTTGATTTCCCACCGTTAACTAGGACTCTGTGCTGCACTTTTTATTTCACTGGCATGCTGTTTGTGTATGACCCAGATGAGCATCAGCATTTGCTATGAAAGGACAGCTAGGAACCAAGGATGTCAAAGACAGTCTGAAGTTGTCACTGCTTATGTTTTGTCTCTGCAACTGGCTGGTTGGTTGTTCCATCAGCCAGTCAACTTGTATTCTTGCTTCATTCTTTCTTTGTTTTCATGGTCATGGATGTTCCCAATTTCTTCATTTCTGTGTGTTCTCCTCACCACTCCATAGAAAATAAATTTACTCAAGTAAGTCCCTGCCTAAAATCTAACCATCCCACTCCTTGAATTCATACTCTGTTCACACACACACAAAAAAAATCACAAAAAAAAACTACGGATCAACATAAACCAGTTTAGATTGAGTCGGTCCCCCACAAAGCCTCAGGAACCTGCGGGGATGGTTTGAAGAGAATGAGGTGGATCATGGCAGCATTGATTTGAACAGTGAACAGTGATCCAGAAGGACCTCATTCCATGGAAGGGAGAGGCCACACCTGGAGATAACCGGATGTCCCCTGCGCCCCACACGATGGTGCAGGACCAGGTTGGGCAGCATGAAAAGTGCTGGCTGGAATATTCTGAAGGTAATTAAATGACTGGATTGTTCTATCATGAACTGATACTTGTCAGCAAAGACAGGAAAATAAATTTTAAAGATACTCTTATAGATTTGATAAACTGAAAAATATGCAATGCCTGGGGAAAAAGTCTAATAGAAATGGCTAAGATCTCTACAGAGAAAATGATAAAATTGAAAGGAATTCAAGAAAAGCTGATAACTGAAGACATCTGCCACGTTCCTGAATTGGAAAGCTCAATATTATTAAGGTATCATTTCTCCTCAAACTGATCCATAGGCTCAATACCATTCCAGTTAAAACTCCCAATTACACTTTGCTGGAGGTGAGAATAGCCGGAGAGGGAGCCGCACTGCAAATCCTTTATGGCCAACAGGATGAGGCTGGGTGGTCCTGAGTCTTCAGCCCCTTTGGGCAGCTCCGACATCAACAAGGAGGCAATGCACAGGAGCCTGGCGCGGGAAGCAGTGTCTGTCTCAGCTACTCCACTGTCAGCTGCTGTTAGTGGGAGTGATGATGTCACTTAGTTGCCTGAGGTTTGCTGTCGAGGATGCCTCAGCAAGGGCACTGGGGGAGGAGGAGCTGCAGGAGGCAGTGAGTGAGAGGCTGGGCTCCAAGCCTCTCCTCCTCAGTGGAACATGGTGTGCCCAGGAAGGCAGGGGTTCACCCCATGGAAGGCTCCTAACTCGTCCCCTCCCCACAAGCTCCCACCTGGACCATGGAGGGGTGAAGCAGCTGAGACTCACCTCTGCCCCTCAGCTGGAGCCAGCCCACACAGGGAGCAGCCAGTACTCACCTCCCTGAGAGGAGGATACTGGAGAGGCCTTGACCCTGGCAGCTCTCTGGAATCAAAGTCTCAATCTCCCTTTTCGGTTTTCTCCCATCCTGAGAATGGTCCAGAGGGGAGAATGGACCCAGAGTGAAGGCACTCGTTGGCCCTTCTGATGCCCTGCTTTCTGATGCCCTGCTTTTTTTCTTTTTATTTATTTATTTATTTATTTATTTATTATTATTATACTTTAAGTTCTAGGGTACATGCACATAATGTGCAGGTTTGTTACATATGTATACTTGTGCCATGTTGGTGTGCTGCACCCATCAACTCGTCATTTACATCAGGTATAACTGCCAGTGCAATCCTCCTCCTCATAATAGGCCCCGGTGTGTGATGTTCCCCTTCCCGAGTCCAAGTGATCCCATTGTTCAGTTCCCACCTATGAGTGAGAACATGCGGTGTTTGGTTTTCTGTTCTTGCGATAGTTTGCTGAGAATGATGGTTTCCAGCTGCATCCATGTCCCTACAAAGGACACAAACTCATCCTTTTTTATGGCTGCATAGTATTCCATGGTGTATATGTGCCACATTTTGTTAATCTAGTCTGTCACTGACGGACATTTGGGTTGATTCCAAGTCTTTGCTACTGTGAATAGTGCCGCGATGAACATATGTGTGCATGTGTCTTTATAGCAGCATGATTTATAATCCTTTGGGTATATACCCAGTAATGGGATGGCTGGGTCATATGGTACTTCTAGTTCTAGATCCTTGAGGAATCGCCATACTGTTTTCCATAATGGTTGAACTAGTTTACAGTTCCACCAACAGTGTAAAAGTGTTCCTATTTCTCCACATCCTCTCCAGCATCTGTTGTTTCCTGACTTTTTAATGATTGCCATTCTAACTGGTGTGAGATGGTAGCTCATTGTGGTTTTGATTTGCATTTCTCTGATGGCCAGTGATGACGAGCATTTTTTCATGTGTCTGTTGGCTGCATAAATGTCTTCTTTTGA